TACAATTGTTAAGCGAGATAGTTTTTTTTAGTTATAACGAGACAAACATTTTTCCATTTATCCCTGTGCTCCATTTTTTTTAACTTCGACTCTCCTGGTATTTGTTTTGATTTGTTTACTATATCCTTTCCACTCCTCGTTTTTATTTTAGCTCCTATCGTTTTATTCTTCGTTGCACATGAATTCCTTTTTGTGACATAAGACAGAATGAGTAAATAACATATGTAATTATAAAAAAAAAAAAACATCTGCTTAATTTTGTTTATTTCTTCTCTCCAGAATACAATTGTTATGCGGTGTGCGACCAATAAGAATATAATGAAAATAAAAATTTCATAAATTTCAGAAAAAAAAGAGGAAACGAAAAGGATATAGAGGGAGAGAAAGAAAAAAAACAAAATGATGTTGAGGCATTAAGTTCGCATCTATAAACGAGTTAAAAGGAAGGGGAAAAAATAAAAAAAAAATAAAAAATGAACACACATTAGGTTCTCGGATACTTTTAAGATGGCGAGGCATAGCACGTAATAAAATTCTTAGATTAAGGCAAGTGTGTCATAGTTAGTTAAGAAATAGGGACTCTTAGAAGTCGATAGGTGCTGTAATACAAATGATGATAAAAAAGAAGTAACAACAACAACAACAAAGTTTAACAACGGTCAGAATTAGATTTTTCATGAAACTCAAATAAGAACACAGGGCATACGCCACTAAAAGTGCCCTTAGTTTATTTTGGATCGTTTAAAAACGCTAGTCTTTGTGTGAGATAATGTGGGGGTTATAGATAGGGTCTTCTAAAAAAAGAAAAAAAAAACACGAAAAAAAGAAGAGAAAAACGAAAAAATGTAAGCAGAAAACAAAAAGATAGAAAGACAGAGAACGCGAGAGATGACGTGAGATATAAGTAGTGAACACAAAAGAAAAAAACGTGAGATGTGCGAGAGAGAGAGAGAGAGAGAGAGAGAGAGAGAGAGAGAGAGAGAGAGAGAAAGTGCGAAACGAATGTGTGGTGTGTAGGTTGTATGCATAATTTATAATGCGTACTTTAAAAAAACCATCTGCCTATGACACGACACAGACTGCAGAAATACACTGTTACTGTAAACTGCACACTGCGTGTGCACGCTCTAAACGTCACACACTTCTTACACTTTGTATGTAGAGCGTGCACCGAACAGTTTTTAGAGTTACTTACAAGTATGGTTTGGTATATTCAAAGTGAAAGAATCAAATTCTTAATTATTATCATCCCTTATTTTTGATCAATAAACGATCTGTTTTGGGGATTTATTCGAATCATTTTCTTTTCCTTTCCTAAGTTTTCTTTAATAGCAGGATAATTGTGAATAGTCTTCAATAAAGAGTGAATCCCCAAATTTTATAAATATTATTTTTCTTCTATCCTTTTTTTCATTATACTTCTCTTTCATTGGATTTTTAATAGAAATATTAATTACATATTAATTTTCGTTTTTTTTCCTTTGTGTTGAAGCGTGAACGATCATTTCTTCGAACGAATAAACGAAATGTAAAGTCTGTAAAATAAACTTACTCTCGTACAAAAGCAGTGACTGTATTTACACATATTCCAACACTAAAAAAATATATGCCTTCTATCGAATCAAGTAACAACTATTGTATATGCCTTTTTCAATGTTGAAAATGATAAAATCGTGAGACCGTTTTTTGATATTTTCCAGAACTGAAAGAGTGAGCTTAACGAATTAAAAAAAACAAAAAAGTAGAAAAGATTAAAAAAAAAAAACAAATACTATGTTCTTCACAATTAAATTTTAGTTAATGAAATTATATTTGAATTAACTTGTAGTAGTATAGCATGTGGAATAGATTAAACAACATTTATCCTTTGTAAGTAATATTAAAACAATAAGCCCCCCACATTATCCTAATTAATTCTGTAATAAAACATTCAGCGTCCGCCTCAATATTAATGATGATAGAATTGTTTTCTGCGAAGTAATGAGATTATAAAGAATTATTATGCTATGTTCAATTTTTAGTAATGAAAAATATTTTTTCTTAATACATTTAATATCTTACACGCTGATGCGATTTGTACTATTTTGAGTAAATGTTCTTAATTTATGCGCAATGAAGATAATTCAAAATTTAAAAAAAAAAAAAAAAAAAAAAAAAAAAAAAAAAAAAAAAAAAAAAAAAAAAAAAAAACGTGAAGAAAAAAATTTAAATCGAAGTGATGGTAATGTATAAGAATGATTACTAGATCTCTTTTGTCAATTAAGTGATGGTTTTATAATAATGTAAAATACAAGGGTAACATTAAAAAGAAGCAACACGACGTAAAAAAACTTATTGAAATAAAAACAATACGAATTTTGATTTGATGCCAAGAGCTTTTTCTTAGGCCATACAATATTCTTTTGTATTTTGTCTCTCTAATTTTATAGATGTATTTATTTATACGAAAATATTTGTAATTTTTTTATACATCATCTTAATTTGCATTTATATAGTTTATTTCAAATTACGTTATTGCAATTAAAATTTTTAATTTTTTTGATTATTTTACAATGAATACAATAATTTTATAATTCAATGTTTCACAACAGCAAAACATTAAATTTTCTATTTAATTTAAATGATTACAAAGCTTGATTTAGAGTATAATAAATATGAAAATTGTAAAAAAACTTATCCTTAATAATTTGCTATACAGAAAATTTCATTTCTCTATTATATGTAAAAGTTATAAAATAATTTGTTATTAATGAACAATATGTTTCGATTTAAATATTCTTACGGTGTTGTCTGCACCTCCAGATACTATGAATTTAGGATTTGACCAATTACAACATAATACTTTATCTTCATGTCCAGAAAGATCAAATAATGGTGCTTTAGGACTGTAAAAAAAATGGAATTTTTTTTTAAAAAAGAAATATTTATATCTTTACATAATTTCATAAATTAATATTATAAAATTAGTGATTATTAAACCTTCTGGTGTCCCACAGTTTCATATCATTATCATATGCTCCTGAAATAAAAAGATTTTCATGTACAGGTGACCATCTTACAGATTGTACCCATTGTATGTGAGAAGTAAATATTGCTTTTACCAATGATCCCTCTAAAAAAAAGAATATATATATAATCTCATTGCAACTTGCAATGAATACAATTTGAAAAACAATTTTAAAACCTGTAGATCTTGGATCATATAATCTGATATGCCTATCGGCTGATGCTGTTATAATAGTGTGGCTTAATGGAGAATAATCAAGATCAAAGAAACTTTTATTTCCAGTCAATTCGTGTTTAATTCCTCCTAATTCTGAATCCCATATTTTTATTGTATGATCCCATGAAGATGTTATAATTTCTATTTTATCTGACCATACTACACCACTAATAGCTTCTTTGTGACCTTTCATTGTTCTTTTAGGTATCTTTATAGTATAATAAATAATAATAATAATAATAATAATTATAATTATTTTTTATTTAAAAACATTTTATTTATGTTCACTTATTTTTATTTACCCTTGTTTTTCCATGTTCTGATTTTAATCTCTTTGAAGTAGATTCACCATCTTCATTTTCATCTTGATTAGCTGAAAACATAAATGAAATATTATTTTATGAATTACTTATTTTCTTTTTAATATATAAATACCTGTAGACCAGATTTTAAGCATTGTATCCCATGCTCCAGTTGCCATCATTGTCTTGTCATAATTAATATTAACAGCTTCTAGTCCACGTTCATGTCCTCTGCATACATGAATACAATCTACTGAATTTTCCATAATATTCCAGTCCCATATTATGGCTGTTTGATCTTGGGATGCACTGTGAATAATAAATTAATATAAGAATTATTTGAAAATGCTTATTTTATTTTTAAAATTTTATACCTAACAAAACTAGCTGTGTCATTAGTTAAGGATATCCATGCAACTGCTTTAATTGGTGAAGTATGTCCAGGAATTACCAAATGATGTTTTCCTTTACATGTCCATATATGTAATGTATTATCATAACAACCTGTTAGAATCCTATTAAAATATTTTTTAATGTAAAATAATTTTTAATATCTTATTGTTAAATAAATAAAAAAAAGTAACCATTTCTCATAAACAGCAATAGCAGATATCCAATCATCATGTATAAGACAATCTTGAGGTTCAGGTGGTGGATACTTTTCAACATATTCAATAATTATTACATCTTCTGTAGAAATATTTTTTTCTGTTATGTGTTCAATTAATGAAGTACGTAAAAATTGTGAACACACCAAAAAATCAAATTCTATTTCATTTTTTATATTACTTGATTCTAAAATTAAAACAAGCATTTTAAATAAATTTAATTTAATAATAATAGTTACATATATATATATATATATATATAGAAATGAATCATATAGTACCCTTCAAAAGTTCATTTATAAGAGTATTTAATTCATTTGATACAATAGATGTATGAACTGATAGAGGAAAATCTGGAACTGCATATCTAAAAATTGAAAAATTTATATATTATATATATTAAAATTATTTTTATAATAAAACTGTTACAAATTATATATATACACAATATCATATCCATGTAATAAAATAAAGTAACCTCTTAATTTAGTTCATAAAATATAATTTAAATGAATACATACTGTTTTTGTTTAGTAAGAAATTTTATTTGTACTTGTGGAACACTTTTATTCACATTTATATTATCCATTGCAATTTCTGTACTATTTGTTTTTTATTTTTATATAAATTAAGAATTAAGAAAGTGCACGTGTATATTACATTTTAAACAAGTTTTATCGGCACTACTAATCGATTATTTAATATGCTTATAAATAGATTTATACAATCGATATTTTACTATCGATGATCATTTTTTATATTATCGAAATATTAAATTTTTTATGTTGAGTTTGGTTTCGTATAGAAGTCTGTATTTCACGAATATCTCTAAATGTACAAACTAAACAAGCTATAAGAAATTTTTATATCTAGTCTGTGATATAAAAGATATAAATAAGACCTGTGATTAGGTAAGTTACAAGATTTGTGATCCTATATTCTGAAATATCGATTGCGTAAAAAATTATAGTGTTTAACATATTTAGTTCTTTATGATTTAGAAATGACTGCAGAAAAGATTCAATTCAATCAAAAGTTATTGAAGTTAACAAATTTTAAAGATAATTTTTTTGATATATTCTTTTATAAATATTTCTATACATTATATGTATTATATTCATATTATTTGTTATAATAAATAAATATAATAATAAATATTATAATATATAAGTGAATTTAACTTATGAATTAAAAATTACATTTATATTTTTTATTACAATGCAATAAAAAAAAATCAATTTGTGAAATTTTTTTATAAAAATTGATTTAAATATAATGCTATTAAAACTTTTAACTTATTAAAAATTTTATTTATATATTTGCTAATATATAATATTAAATGTTAATATTTATGCAATATCATCAATGATTTCAAAAAATTTGATAGGAAATATTTTATTACTAAAATCATAGAGAAAAACATATAGAAGTTATAATTTCTTATTTTTATTTTTTTCGCTGGTTTTTGATTATAATATTTATCTCTTGTTTGATGTATCAAATTTTGCAGAATAAATATAAACAAAAAAACAAATAATAGGAGAAAAACATAAAACATAAAGAAAACGTAAAAAAAGTATCTCTACAATGTCATAATAAATAAAATAAAATAAAATAATAAAAAAAGATAAAATATAATACAAGCAAAGATAAATAGTAATAGAAAAAAGAATAAAAAAAGAATTGTCAAAATATATTTCTTGAATACCAAAAATATTTAATTTTAAAAATTAAAATATTTATATATTATAATTTAAAAATCTTTTTTAAAGTATTCAAGAGATGGCGTTGATACTTAATTTTTATTCTATTTTATTTTGTCTTTGAAAAAATATTTGATATTCGAGAGATGGCGTTAACGGTTAATTTTTATTCTATCTTTATCTTTTTTGCTACTATTTGTTATTTCTTTTTACTATTTGCTTTCTTTGTATTTCATTTCTAGTGCTCTAAAGATGACGCTGATTCACTAATATGTTATCTTTTTCTTTTTCCTGTTATTTGATTTTATCTATACTTGTAAAAGCATCAAGAATGCGAGTATAGACGATATATTAATTGAATACTTTTAATATTTCTTTTTTAAAATTACAATGTATCTTTATTTTTAAAAATATAACTATTACATTCTTGGTTTTATAATGTTTTTTTAATGTTTTTATAATGTTTTAAAACGACGAAACATGATATAGTATATATGATATATATATATATATATATATATGATGCGATGTTAAATAATAATAGTAAGAAGTATCGCTCGATAATAAAAATGAGATTAAAAGAAAAGAAAATTTGACTTGTCAACAAAAAGAGTATAATAAAGATTAAAAATATATAATAAAAGAGAAAAATTTTTTAAAAAAGAAAAACATTAAAAATTCGTGATAATATTCTAAAATATTTCCAAAAAAATTTATAAATTATAAAAATTACTAACAAATTTATTTATAACTTATTTATTCTAGTTATTTTATTAAATTATTTATTATAATTATTTTATTCCTGTAATTTATAGCTATTTATATTGATAGCTTATAACAATTTAAATAATAAATTTAATTATTATTTTTTTAGCTGTATGTTAATCAGATACAGTTATATTATTTATTAATTTCAAATTAAAAAATGACATGAATATAAATTGGAAATAAATATAAAGTTAATATTTTATAATTAATTAAATCAAATTTTTATGTTGTTTATTATGTTGTTTATTAATATTATCATTTATTAATATTTAATTTTATTTTATTCATAAATAAATAAATATTTAATTTATTTAATAATAAAATAATATGTGTAATATATTTTTTAGGAATATACATTTAAGTTAGTAATTTAATGGAAAAAATTAAATATTGAAACATTAAAATGAATAAAACGAAGGCTGATATATCACAGATTATTCTACTATTTATTCTGTCTTACTATCTTTGTTCTTCTGTAAAGAATAACAAAACTTATTATTTTCAGACTTAAATTCTCTGCAACAAATATTCCAAATCGATATTTTGATGAAATTATAAAAATCCATTCTTATGTATGTAACAGAATTTATTACATTCAATTCTTATGTAGTTGTGTAGTACATTTCTTATATATAGTTCAATTTTTATATAGTTTTAAGATTAATATTTCTTTGATATTAAAAATTATTGTTATATTAAACATTATATTAAAAATAATATATAACAATTTCTTAATTTTTTACATATAATAATTATGGATTTCATAATCATTATTAAAATATAATAATAAATATTAATAATAAAAACAGAAATAAATGATTCTTAATAACTTTATTAAATTAAAATTATTTTAAATTTAATATATATATATATATATATATATAATAAAATAATAATTAAAAAATAATTATAGAAGGTTATTAATAAATCGTTTATTATGTAAATATAATTAATGACTTATATTAAAATTTTTTCACATTTAATTAAATATCTTTGTAACTTTAACTATCTTATCAATATTTTTATTCGATCAATATTTATTTATTTTATTTCAACACAGAGTCAATAGAAGAAACTCAGTGTTTCATTATTTAAAAAAATAAATGTAATTCATAAATAATAGATGCTCAACGATTATATAAAAAAAATAAAATGGAAAATATGCAGATATTTGTTAGCTCATAAATATATTTCACATAATTCAAAATTTTATATTATTTAGAAAAAAAATTTTTTATTTTTAATTGAAATTTTGCTAAAAGTTCTTGAATTATTTAAGATAGAACATGCAACAATATTGATTAACGATGCAGAGAATTGTCTCTTATGATCGAAAGTTTTTTTTCTTTATTAGTATTAGTAGTTTTATAAAAGATATATTATAGTTTTTTATGAGAGTTTTATTATTATTGTAAATGGTATTATTTCTTTTTTTTTTATTTTTTCATTATCTTTTAGTGATGGGAATGATCTTATATTTAAATTGTCGAAATAAATTTTGTTTTTATATTAAATATATATATATATTTTTTATATATTATTTTTATATTGTGAATAAATTTAATTCAAATCTATTTTTTATTATATTATAAATATACATGCGTATATTATAATTCTAATAAATAATAATTTCTTTTTTTAAGAAATATTTATCTTTAGGAAAAACTCTCGTTTTGAAAGTTCAGATATCACGAGGATATTGGTCCGATCACTATTCACATTCTTGGTCGCTTCGCAGCCGGCATGTGCGCTTTGCAATCGATTCCGTGGTCAACGCATGCCCTGCTTGCTCGTTCTTCATGGAAGAGTCTTCAGTCTATGGTATTCTGCGATACAAGATACGCAGAAGAAGAAATGATCTAAAGAGACAATAATCTCTGTGTTGAATGAGCAATCGTATTTCGTTTTTCTTGTTTTGAAATACGTGATATATTTTACAAAGACTGAAGAATCTTAGCTCTAGAATGTGTTAAAATTGAGAAGATAAAACAACCAAGTGTCACGCCCAGGTAAGCCAACAAAGAGACATTTTTTTGCCGCTAAAAGCGCCATATAGATTCATAGGAATAAGGAAGAAATTGGAAAAGAGGGGAGGGAACATGACTACAACCTGATGCTTCTAATATATAACTAAATAGAGATATGATCGATACAAAATGCCATTTGCATAGAAAATTAAAGAAAACACGGAAATTGAAGATAAAATATTTAAATACGTAATTGAATATTGACTTCTTCATTTTGAACTTAGATAATAAATGAAAGATATTGCTGGGTATCAAAGATAATGTTCGTTGAAAAAAAAGAACAATTATTTTTATTTAATTGCTTGATAATTAAAATTAAAATAATTACTTAGAGTACATATCGAAAAATTGAATCATCGAATAAAGATTAAATTCCATAAATTGTTGTAAGCTGTTTTCCGATAACAGTGTAGTAATTTATGTATTTATATTTGTCTTATTTCGATGTCGTTCGATTATAGAGATGTGTGCACAATGATTGCGTAAATTTAAATGCTTATGTTGTTACGCAAAAACATACCGCACCCTTTGTAAAACCATACAATACTTGTCAATTCGTTATTTGAATAATTAATTTTTACAAGATTTTTAATAAAATTTTATTTTATTATAAGTTTATTGCATTTGACAATATAATCTCATTCAGACCAGTAGATAGATTATTTCAACAAGTTGTTCTATATTAAATATCTAGTTCAAACAGCTTATATACTTTTCTATAATGTTATATATATTGTACATTATATATTGAACATTTTTAGTTGAGATATTGAAATTTTGGATATATTGAACATTCTATGTATTTTAAAACAATTTTTAATATAAATCAATATTTTCTGCAAACTATTTTATTTATAAATATTAATAATATAATTGATGATTGTTAATGAATATACATATATACACATGTGTACATATATGTATACATAAAAAGTATAAAAGAGAAGAATCTTTTTATAAATTTTATATAAATTCTATTTTTCTATTTTATTTATCTAAAATCTATTTTTAAATTTGATACGGTTAAAAATTGCTTGAAATAATCAAAATTACATTAAAATAATTTTTTTTAAAAATAAATGAAGCATATTGAAAAAAATATAAGTAATAAAAATTTGCAAATATAATATATAAATATATAATATCATATACAATATAAACATAACGTTTAATATATAATTATTATATATTATATATATTATATTATGATATATATTATAATTATATAAAGTATAATTATAGATAATAAATGCAATCTTTCAAATATTGTTTTTCTGTTCATTTTTCCTTTTTCTCTTCATTCCGTTAAGAATAATAATTCATATTTTTTTATTAATCATAAATATTAATTTATTAATCAAGTAGATTATTAATTAAGTATTAATGATAAGCAGGTTTAATAAAAATAATTATACCATTGAGTGAACTATAAATTTCAAAGAAACAATTTTTCACAATTATCACAATATTTATTTTCTCGTCTAAACTGCTCTTTTATTCTTCTATTTAAGAAAAATAAAGATGTATTATAAAATTGAAATTAATTGAAATATTTATTTTCTTTATTTTTAAAGAAAAAAATAGTTTTTCTAAATTGAATATCTTTATTTTATTTTATTTTATTTATTATCTTAATTATAGGAATATCTATGGGCCGTAAACGGTGGTGGCGTGGAGGTCCGGAGCTGTTAGTGCTCTTTGTTCTCCATCATATAATTCTGGGTGACGGTGATGTTGGTGAGTAGAAATTTATGATTATTTTGCCAATCAGAATATATTTTTTTTAGAAATTGAATAATTGAAGAAAATATATATATATCCTTCAATATTTCGAGAATGGAAACTAAATGAAATGTTTTCTCATAAAATATTCTTAATGATATTTAACCATAAAAATTATAATATTATAATAAAAATATCATCATTATATTATATCATTATAATCTTCTTTATTATATTATATAGACAGATTTCCTTTTTTTTATATAAAAAAAAATGAATGAAGATACTTTAATAAATTAAGAACGTTATTCCTTAAAAAGGAATAAATAAAATTTTTAATTCTCGGACGTTTAATAATTCAAATATATCATTGTTCTATTTTGTGTTTTTATTTCAATTTGATATAATTCTGAAGATTTTATTTTGCTGATCAGCATAATTTTTCCTTTCCTTCTCTTGCTTCAGCGACATATTTCAATATTTAAACAAAATTCTTTTTTTAAATTTTTTGTTAAATTAAAATTCTTTTTGTTTCTTTTTTTATTTCGATTTTTCTTTATACATTTATTTTAGTACAAAATTCATTTTAAAATCTCTCGTAATACTTTAAATAAGAATATTGTACATATAAAATGTATTTATTGATTGATGAATAATTTTGGAAAAAATAGGAAAATAGCAAATTTCTTAATTTAATATTCAAAGATTTTATTTGAAAAAATAGAATATATTATATTTTATTATAATATATTATAATTATTATAGAAATTATTTTATTATTAAAAATAAAAAATATTACTTATATTTTGTAAATTTGTTTGAATAAAATAGGAATAAAAAAGTATTCATAAAATATTTTTAAAAAAATATTCAAATTTTCCATCCATATTTTTGAATTTTTATAAATATTTATTTATGTAAAAATTTTCAAAAATTATAAATTGTTACATAATAAAATAAATATCAAGTTATTTTAGATAATATATAGAAAATAATTAGTTGTTTGATTATTGATAAAAAAAATGATTATAAAGAAGAAGTTTTCATTTAACTTTCTTCGTGGGAAAACTCGTAAAATTAAATTTACCGATGATGTTCACATAAATATTTTAATATTGACTACATCTCATTTCATTTCTTTTTTAACTTATGAATTCTTAAATATTACAATCAATGTATAGATTCACAAAAAATATCTCTTTTCAATAAAAAATAATATAAAGAATATAAAGATAAAGAAAATAAAAATTAAAAAAAATAGTTTTATAAATAAAAAATTTTTTTTTATCATCGTCATATAAGAAAATTCTTTCTAGAATTATTAAACTTTTTTTTTAATAAGAAAAAGAACAATAGAAATTAGAAAATAAAAAAGGAAATACAGTTTTTAAAAATCTATCTTGAATTGAGATCTAAGAAAAATTATTGTTAAGATTTTTTCATTTGAATTTCTCAATATCTTTTTTTTTCTATCCATATTCAACAAATTTCAATTGCCACTAATTTTCTATCCTCATATCCAATATTTTTTTATTTATTGTGTCGATTATTTATGTGCGGATAATCAATACATTGTATCTTATTTAATCGTGACCTTGAAAATTTGTTATTTCTTTTCAGGATAGGATTTGAAACGTCGAAAAAAAAGTAAAGAAAATGAAAAAAGAAATGGAAAAAAGATGATGTTCGATTTTCGCCCACGACTCTCCATTATTATTGAGCTATACATCCTACGCAACCACCACCTTTGCAAACTCGGTTTCTCTCGTTTGCCCTGAATTCCTTTTCACGCACAAATGCTTTTTACTTCTATTCTTTCTTTTTTGTTCTCTCGTTTCCCATTTTATCGTTATTTTTCCCGAAAATTTTTTCGCTCTATTTAATTATTCCTAATACTCTTTTCTTTTAACACTTTACATCCTGTCTGATCTAAAATTATAAAATAATTGATATTTGATACAAAATTTATTTTAATTAATCTAAATATTATTTTATTTATTAAATATAATTAATTTGTATTTATTATTATTCTAAAATAATTTTGTATTTTTATAGCTTAAATATAAAATATTGTAAGAAAGTTTAAAATCATTTCATTAACTAAAAAATTTAATTAAATAAAATTACAATTAAAGCGAAGACAAAGGGAAATGTTGTCAATTCAAAGATTGAGAAATAATGAAATTTTATCAAAAAAGAAAATTGTAATGTTTTGCTCTATTTATGAGCAAAATTCTAAAAGCTTTTCAAAATTTATATATAAATTGATATTTAGATTTTTATATATATTTTGTTACATCATTTTATATCACGCGATAAAAATAAATTATATAAATTTACAATGTTCAAAAGTTTTTCAACATTAAATTTCAATATTGAGTATTCAATAGAGTAAGATAAAACTATAGATATTGATATTCGATGTAGCACATTGGCAAACAGTTTTTATTTGATTATTCAACCCCTATTGAGGATTGAGCGATCATGTAGCAAATACTCGGTATTCTAATTACGGAATACCTAACGGAAATTTATTAAATAAAATATGACTGTACAATTAATATAAAAATTTATATTAATATGTTATAAATGAAAATAATAACGATATGATTCTGCGTTATTTGTATTATGATAAAACATTTATATATATTCAATAATTAATGAATTCATTAGAAAAAAATATATCTAATTATACTATTTAATAAAAAAAATTATTTTAAAAACAAATTGTTTAAAATTAAAATTTCATTATTCTTCTACTAACGTATTACTGATTTTGTTATAGGGTGTCTGTTCAGCAAAAGCCTCTGTGATTCTCGCACGGAAACATGTTATAATGGTAGTTATTTAAGGAAATATATATTCAAGGAAATATATATTCGTTTTGTAATCGATAATTATTGATACGAATAATAAAAATAAAATTTGATTTTTCGTTTTTAATATTCCAGATCTTGCATTTGGTAGATGTTTGCCATTATATTCTGACTTGAATGAAGAAAATTACTATCAGTAAGTATTCAATATTTCCCTCTTATATGGAAATAAAATTTTTACAATTTATTTTCTTATATCGATGCAATTTTTATTTACTATATCAATAATACTTCTATTATTATAATAAATAACTATATACTTGCTATTTTAAATAATTTAGAATGCTATAAAAAATATATAATTGATATTTCATTTTTTACAATAAAATAATTTCTTTTTATTATCTAATCATAAAATAACTATTTAATCTTCATTTTACAGAAATACAATATGAACTTCTATTTATCAAAAAATAAAATATGAAAGATATAAATTAAATTTATATTATATTGAATTCGTAAAAGTTTACTTACTAAAAATAAAATTATTTAATTTAAAATTAACTAATATTTTTTTTTTTTTTTTATTTTAGATATGACTTTGATGTGAACGAATTGAAGCTATTAAGATTACAATTAGAGAGGTTGGAAGTAGATGGATATAAATGGTCTCATCCCTACACGCAATGTATTATGCAAATGTCCTTATATAATTTACATCATGGGTACAATTAACATTATAGAAAATTTTATGATACGTGATACAATGTATAATATATAATATATAATTTTAAATTATATTATCAATTTATTTTTAGAGAAAATTATGATCTTCGGCTGTGTCAGCATTTAAAACAACGCACACGTTTCGAAAATAAAAATGAAATTGATCAGGCCAAAGTAAGTTTATCATAATATCATAGTTCATCTTTAATATGTTTTGTATTGTTATATGAAAATTAATTTATTATAAAATAAGATTTCTACTCAATTTAAAATCAAATTGAAAGATATTCGACAAAAACAATGATAATTTTATATTTTAATCTTTTTTTTTAAAAATTTCATTTAAATGAAAAATTACTTTGATTAATTCAAACAGCACAAAACATATTGATTTAATTAATTATTTCAATAATCAAAATTTTAAGATTTAACTTCGTTTTTTAAGATACCTACAATAGCCATAGTAAAATTCACACCTAACAATGATAAGTTCAATAGTCAATTTGCCAATGAGCTCTATTATCCTCCTGGTACGCGAGATCAATATTTCCGTAATTATAACAATAAATTTTCTCAATCACCATATAAGGAACAACTTAAAGAAACAGATACTCAAGTATACAATTCGAGGTACAATCCGAAATTTTACAACGAATATGATTCTTTAACAAATGAAGAAAACTATGAAGAGAATGGTGAAAATAATTCGCCAAAAAGACCAGTAAGTTTCGATAGATTTGATGAAAGATTATATCGAACCAGACGGCAACCATATAATTTACGAGATTATGATGATAACGCGATGGAATCGTTTAAAAATGCTTTAGAAAAGGAAGAATTGAAGAAGAAACTTTCAGATAATAAAAATTCAAATTCCATGGATAATTTAACTGCTGATGATGAATTAGAATTTCTAGTGAATGATAAATCTGATGATTATTCTGATAAAAAAAATAATGAAGATGGAGAAATTGATATTGAATACGAGAAAACATTTTCAAGAAAATACAAACCTAGAAAATTCATTGAGCTTCCGAATAAAGAGTCTCTTCTAGAAAATATGAAACGGCACGGTAATTTTAAGGATAATTATGATAGTGAGATTGATGATTATGATGATGTGAATGATGTAGAAGAATTGCCTCAAAAGGATAGCACATCGATAAAAAATGGTATTTATACTGAAGGAGGACTCGTTCAATCTGTTGATGATAAATCTAACATTGGCAATGATGGTATACTATTTTATTATTATTTTATATTTGATGCTATTACATATTTTTAATATATATGATATATACTTTATGATTTATTATAATTTTAGAGAATACCTACGATAATTTATTTGAAAATGATTTAAGCGAACTTCTATGGAGACGTGGATTAGCTGGTTTTAAACGACGGGAACGTTTGGATGTTAAAAAACCAGGACCAGCATTTTCAACAAATAATTACGCGTTTAAAACTCCATCTCCAATCAGTAAATTTTTACTTGTTTCTATTTTATTGTATTTATTATTTTATATTTATAATTTTTTTGTTAATTATTATTTACTTTTATTCCTTATGGTTTATTTGATATTCATAATTTTGCATTATAATTTTCTGATATAAATTGACACCAAACATATTTTCAGTTTTAAAAAATGAAAATCGGCCTTCCATCGAAACCGAACAATATGCAAGTAGTAATCTTATGTAAAAACAAAACAAACAATATATAAACCATATTATTATTTAAAATATTCATTTTTTAGAATAATATATTATTAACTCCAAAGAAGGATATAGAAAATATACAACAAGCGAACAGTTCAAAATCCTACAATAATATTGATCTAGATCATGTTTACATAGAATTTCAGCAACCATTTCATGCTTGGATAGAAGCAAAACATGTTGTACAAGAAGTAATTGCTAATTTATGAATATATATATTTTCTTTAAAAAATTTTCTTTAAAAAGATCAAATAAACATTTAATTTGCAGGTGGAAAAATTATTAGGACTAAAATTTGATTCTTTAAAAGATATTCGAGTTGGTAGGACAGAAGTGACATTTAAAGTTGAAAAAAATAATCAAAATTATAGTGCTATTGACGTGGTTAACAAAATAGGTAGTTAATTAATCTATGAATTAATTATTTTTACAATTATTTTTATTCAAAATTGTAAAAATAATTGAATATAAAAATTAATCATTTATATCATATTCTCAGATGATATACGTGGCAAGTTGAAAGATACTCTGGAAGTCGAGGTGATTCGTGCAGGCATAGGTGACAAGGTTCATTTTCAAATTTATTATTATATTTTAAAATTTTATGTATAAAATTATTATATTATTATATTTATTAAAATTTATATATTAAAATTTATTGTTCAATCAAAATCACATCATAAACAGAATTTATTATAAACATGATTCTTTATTTAAATATGTATTCAAATATCTTAACGAAATAATTTTACTAAAATAAAAATAAAAATTAATGTATATATATCTTTTGCTTTTAGAAGAAACTACCTGCAACGCTGGAAGTTAGTAGGAAATCTGAGATGAATTCGACTATGCTTGGAATATTATTAGCTTCAGGATTTGGTGCTGCCAGTGTAGCTGCAATAATCACATTGATGATTGCTCGTCGACACGCTAAATTTCGAGCCAAACTGGCAGGATTGGCTACACCTGATCCAGAAGCTTCAAAGGATTATCAAGACTTATGTAGAGCAAGAATGCACGCTAAACAGACAACAGATAAACCGGAATCACCGCGAATTACTAATTTAAGTCGGGAAAATGAATCCAATAATTTACCGTCGAATCGATCTAGCACATCCTCTTGGGGAGAGGAACCAACTCTTTCAAATATGGACATATCTACTGGACAAATGGTTTTGGTATAATAAATAAAATATTTTTAAATATATCAATTATATTTTTAATTTTATTATTAAAATTAAGTCTATTAAAAAAAGATATTTAAAAAATATAAAAGATACATGTATATTTGTGTATATAATAAAAATGAATCAAAATCTCATTTCATATTTTTCTAGAATTATATGGAAGATCACTTAAAAAATAAAGATCGATTAGATCAAGAATGGGCAGCATTATGTGCGTATGAAGTAGATCCTTCTTCAACAGAAATCGCGCAAAATGAAGTAAATGCCAAATGTAATCGTCCTGGCGCGGCAATTCCTTACGATCATTCCAGGGTGATTCTAAATGATCTTGCTAATACCAACAATTCCGATTATATTAACGCCTCCACGATCGTAAGTATTCTTTTTTAAATTTATGATTTAAGATTTTTAAAATTTAAAAAGTATATAAGTATGAAATAAAATAATATATATATATATATATATGGTTTTTATTTTAAAATCATTGAAAATGGAACTGAAAATAGAAATCGGTAAGTCACACGACAAGCATGAAAAATCTATTATTATACATATAGTTTCAATAACAGTGTTTTTTTTAACAATGTTTTCGCATAGATATTCAAATTATAAATAATATTAGTTTAGGCATGATTTGAAGATATCATAAGTGTAGATATAATTTTAAAAATAAATCTATAAAAAGCAATGAAATAGTTCATATAAATATTCATTAATTTTGTATTCAATTTGTAATGTCAATTTTAGAGACAATTGTTAAATATACTTAATATTAATAATATTATTATTAAACATTTCTAATTCTTGTTATTTTAAATAAACAAATTAACGAAAATAAATATTTAAATGCAATAAATCAATATAATAAAAATGTTTATATAGATTTTTCTCATTTTTGCATTCAAAATTTAACTATAAATTTATATCTATATATTATGATAAAATTTCATTTTATAAAAACATTAAACGTGCACTGTATACTTTAGATATTAATTCAAGTAAAATAGCTTTTAATATATATATAAAATTTAATATAAAGTTTTGATTATGTTGCAAAATTTAAATTATCTCTGCATAATATAAAAAAAAATCACAAAAATCGCACGCACAATAACTTAAAAAATAGAAAATGTGTTTGCTATATATTCAAGAAAGCCGTGTGACTTGCTTCTTGATCAATATAAAATTAATAGTAAAAAAATGTTATTTCAAACAAATCTGATATTCTTTAGACGGATCATGATCCTCGAAATCCAGCTTATATCGCCACACAAGGACCATTACCAGAAACAACAGCTGATTTTTGGCAACTAGTTTGGGAACAAGGCAGTGTCGTAATTGTAATGCTAACTAGACTTACTGAAGAGGGTATTGCCATGTGTCATCGTTATTGGCCTGAAGAAGGATCAGAATTGTATCATATCTACGAGGTGCATCTTGTATCCGAGCATTTTTGGTGTGATGACTATTTGGTTCGTTCCTTTTACTTGAAAAATCTACGTACTGGCGAAACAAGAACTGTAACACAATTCCATTTCTTATCTTGGCCTGAAAATGGTATACCACATTCCATCAAGGCACTTCTTGAATTCCGCCGGTAAATTATTATTCTATAATAATTAAAAATTTAAAAAATATTTAAATTTGTACATGAAATGTAACATTATTCTAATATTTATTATTTAATTTTAGAAAAATTAACAAATCTTACAAAGGTCGATCATGTCCTATAGTTGTCCATTGCAGGTAAAATAGACATATTATTTATATTTATCTTTTGAAGTATAATCTTTGAAGAATAATGAAAAACTCTCATTATTATCTTTTGAAGAATAATTAATAATATCATTTGATATATCATTCATTTAATAGAATAATGAGAAACATAATTTTTATAGTGATGGCGCAGGGCGTACTGGAACTTATTGTTTAATTGACATGGTCTTAAATCGTATGATGAAAGGAGCTAAAGAAATTGATATTGCAGCTACATTAGAACATATAAGAGATCAAAGACCTAATATGGTTGCCACAAAACAACAATTTAAATTCGTTCTCATGGCAGTAGCGGAAGAAGTACATGCAATTCTTAAGGCTTTACCTGTACCTCTTACAGAAAAATCTCCTCTTCCAGAAAACAATTCTTCGACAAAACAACATCAGTAAGATTTGATTTAAATTGAAAAAAAACAGTCGCGACGAGCAGAGGCAAAGAATTAATTATAATCCATCGGACAAATATAATCAAATATTTTTAATCATAATCTAAAATTATATCTTTTGTTTCTTATATCTTTTCCTTCTATACTTTTGAATATATTCTAAATCTATTACAAACTTCTAACGGATTTCGATTATATTTTATTGTAGAAAATATCGAATTTAAAAACTTTTTTAAGTTTTAAATATTTTGTTTATATATTGTTGTTCAGTTGACATAAGATAAATATATATACATAAATTATATCATCAAATAATTATTTTTAAAGAAAAATTTATTATGGCAATCTATATTTATTATGTATATCGTTTGACTACGGCCTACTTGGATAATCAAGTATATGGACTTGAAAGACTGAGCTATGCAACTGATGGAATTCTAAATATCGACTAATAATGGAATCATTTATACTATGTACTCTTATAAACTTGTCTTTTGAAATAATCTTTATAGTGAACAATTTTATCAAGTTTCAATATCATTTATTATCATAAAATGAATATTTATCTTTTTTATTATGTAGCTCAGTCTTTATATTATAATTTATTTTATTGTTGAATTTATAATATATATATTATGAAAATTTTAATTGATTGAATTAAGTTGCTTCCTCTTATGAACAAATCTACTCTAATGTGCTTTACAATAGCTTTAAATAAGATATCAAAAAATACTATGAGATAATTAATATAATTCTATCTATCTCAGAGTCAATTCTATCAAATGTATATAATATTGGTGCTCACATTGATTATATCACATATGATTAATTTTTTTGATTAATATTTGATTAAATTTTTGTATCTGCTTTTTTAAATTGATTTCTCTATAAAAATTTTAATTGAAAATATACAAAATTTGAATTAAATTTTTATGTTAAAAATGCGAGAATTGAGATTCCCATTAGAAATTGAAATCAGAATTTTTATACTGCTGTTACATGTTCTAAAAAGTATGGATTTAAATGAATGGCCATGAATGTTGCTTCCGTGAAATGAAATTTTATTAGATTAAATTTTTTTAAATTAAATGTAATGTTTTATGTATAAAAAATTGCAAGAAACATTACTTATTTACATATCAGTCTCTTTTCTACGCGTAAAAAAAAAATGATCGAGCTGCACAATATTCAATTTATAATTATTGTCATTATAATAATTTTTGTCAAAAAGAAAAAAATATTATAAAAACGTCAGAAGAAAAATTTTAAAAATATTTTATCAATATGAAGTTAAAATATGGTTTTTTTAATAATAATGTAATATTTTGAAAATCAAAAAAAATGTTATTATGAACATACTTTGTGAATAAAATGTTTAATCATATTATGAAAATAATGTGAAAATATGTAAAAAAAAAAAAAAAGAAAAAAAATATATATATATATATATATAACACATACATGTTTGCACAAATTATGGTATTGATATAATAAGTTATGAAAGTATTATACTTATTTTAAAACGATACTGTTTATCCTATAGATCTAGCTTCAGGATAGATAGATATTTGAGATTTCTTCCTTTTATTGTGCAGTACGATTATTGACAATTTATATTTTCTTTATATTTTTATATTAATTTATTTTTCTATTGATTTACAATTTATTAACTATACATTTATCAAAAATCGCAAATGAATAAAATTAAAAAAAATTTTGAATATACTTTGTTAAACAAAATAATATAAAGTATAAGAATAATTTTATTTTCTAATGTTGCTTGCACATTTGAATATTCTATGATTTAAATATCAAATTACAAAAAAATTTTAAAATATTAATTATAATAGACATTTATTACATTTTATTTGTTAAATTAATATAATATATATTGTGAACTCAACATAAAAGTTCGTTTGACAAAAGATAAGTTTCATTAATTTCATTTTTTTAGTACAGATTCATATAAAAGATTCTATATTTTTATGCAAAAGAATGAGTCTACATAAAATAAAATAATATATAAATCTATACTATGTTAATCAAAATGTAATACTATGTGTTATAATATAATAAATCACTCTATGGTCAAATCATAATATGTTGTATATATTCTTATTCTTCAAATTTATTTATCTTTTCTTGAGCTATAAATTTTATATTACATATTTAAAAATATTTATACATTTATGTTTTTATTCTTTAAAATTGATATAACTTCTAAAATAAACAATTATTTGTAAGATATTTATAAGATAATAAATAAAAAGCATACCAGCTTTATTTCTTTACTTCAATCTTGGAAAGTAGATTGAAAAGTAGTATCAGAAAACATAGGACACCAAAAACCTAAAATTGTTAATGTTTGTAAAATGTTAACATTTATCAAATTTAAGTATATTTTATTTTGCAAATAATATAAAATAAAATATTAAATTACCTTCAGGTGTATTAATTCTTTCATTATATGTAGTTCTATGTCGAGAACACTTATTTTGTCTCATTTTTATTTCTTCCTCAGAAATTCCAAGATTAGTATAATACTAAAGAAAAAGCAATTTTTGATTTTTAATAAAAAATATTTAAATGTTCTGTATCATATATATATAAATATTTTTATATTTAAATTTATATATTATTTTACATATAAATAATATTAACTTACAATTCAATTTTTAATATGCAGCAATAAGAAGAAATAAATTATATTTAACACTACTTCAATCAATCCTTTATATTGTTTTTTTTATATTAAATTCATTATATTAATATTCATATTATATTAAAATTCAAATTATATATCTTACCTTTTCACATTCCCAACAAGTAATACCAATCATTTTTTCTCTTTTTGATTTTTTCTTTGATAATTTATTCTCTTGTTTTTCTTTTTTATTAGGAACTCTTAAAAAAAATATATTAAGTTTAACATAAATATTTCAAAACTTTTTGAATTTACATAAATAATGCTTACATATCAAAACTATCCATAAGATATTTTTTTATACGTGGATATTCTGGTGAATTTTTATTTTCAAATTTATTTTTTTTTAATTCATTTTTATCATAAGATTTTTGTTTAATTTTTTCTCCTAAAAGACAATACGTTTCATCATATATTGAAGAATTGGTATCAAACATTTGATTGATTGATTCTGGATATTTTCTTTTTTCTGGAGTAATATTTTTTTTTATCTCTAATTTTCTAATTTTTTTTATTGGAGTTGATAAATTTTTATTTTCAGAATATCCAATATCTGAAATTGTTTGAAAAAAAGATGGATTTAAAATATTATCATCAATTTTTGATTGTGTAGATGTTTGTACAGATAATAAATTGAGACTAGACTGATTTATTTTTTTATTTGAGGTTTTATTTTTCAATCTTAAACATTTTATTTTTGAACTTAATTCTGTATGTTTTTTGGGACTATTTTGAATTACTTCTTCTTCTATAGATTTATTATAATTTTCTAGTTTTTCTTTTAGTATGTCTTTTTTAGATATAGGTAATGCATGTATTTTTGAAATATTTGAACTTTCATGAGTTGTAGTATTAACAGATTGTGTATCTGGAAGAAACATAAGTTTCGATTGTCTCAATTTTTTACCATTTTGTAATAATGTGGTATCTACATTATATAATGTATTAATTCTTAATTTTTGTGATATTTTATTAGGTATACATTTTATCTCATCATTATTATTTTCATTAATTAAAATTTTATTTTTCTGTGATTTTTCAAATATTGCATCTTCCCTAAGATTATTTCCTGAAATTGTTAATATAGAAATATTTTCTTTTATTGGTATATTTGGATATGTTTCATTTATATCAAAATTTTCTAGAATAAAATTATTATCTGTAATATTGGTCTTTTTAGATTTAGAACGTTTCTTTATAAGTATTGGACTCTGCAATGATTTCTCTTCTGATATTTGTTTCTCAATAAATTTATCATTTATAATACTATCATTTAAACTTGCATCAATATCAGAATTAGAACTGGTACAAACATTGTTGTATAAAGATGTAAATATTTTTTTATTTTCTGATACTTTGTTTGTATTAAGTGCAGTACTAAAATATAAAAAATTAAAATATAAATATATATATATTTTATTAGCAAATATAAAAAATAACATTTATAATATAATTTTTTAGGATTATAAATCAACAATAAAACCAAAACTTACACAGGTTTATTATCATAAATATTTGATTCAAGCAATTGAAATGGAATTTTAAAATCAGCATCTTCACAATGCTTTCGTAGTTTTAAATATTCACTCCATAATTCTGTAAATATAAGATGTCTAATGTTTAAATCAAGTAATTTAACTATAAATTTTATTTATCAAATTTATATTAAAAAAACAATAATACAACATTTAAAACAATAAATAATAAAGTTTTGAAATATATTTTTATTTCATAAAAATTTTATTTTTAAAAAAATTTAATTTTTTTAATTTAGCCGCAAAAAATAATTAATATATATTATTAATTATAATAACATGTAAAAAATTCAATATTAAATAATTTTTATTTTGTAAATATAATTTTTTATAATTATAAAAAGAAATATAAATAAAAAAAATTCAATTATCGATATAAAAACAATATATGATATATACTTACTTTTATATTGTTCGAATGCTTTCCCTAGCATTCCAGCAAAATTCTTCGTAGCATTTCGCGCAATCTCATTGTCTACGAAACAATCAAATTGTAAAACATCTGATAAAGCCATCAGTAAAATAAACGAGGTTAGGTAATCGTTTTTTAGAACAACTCAATACCCTGCCCCTTTTCTCACTTTTTGTTAATTAATTCGTTGTTTTTTTTTTTTATTACGTATATTATTATCACACCGAGTATAGAATCGAATAAATTCAACAAAACAAATAATTTATTATTCATTCCCACAATGTCATACTGCTGATCACTTCACTGAATAATCTACAGCGTGTCGATAGTTTCTTTTTAAATCGCAGCACAAATCGCCATGATATGGTCACATATTGTATACAGCTTGCCGGTATAGAAGCACACTTCCTAACCTCATTTTCGCAGTGTTTTTCTTGGAATCACTTCAATCTGAAACGTTCGTGAAACTTGTGTTAATTTTAATTTTTTTTTATGCTGTATTTATTACGTTCAAAAATAATTTGAGCTTCGAAAGCTATAATTTTATTTTTTTGTAGAAAAAACATTTTACATAATTTCGTAAGTATATCTAACCAAATAAAAATGATTTATTCATAATATCGTTAATTTGTAAATATATATTTATATCAAAATATATTAAAAATTAGTTTCTGCTCTTTCTAGTTTACCTGTCCTAAAAAAAACCTACTATCATGTACTTTTATCTCTTTATTATATCTCGACATTATGTACATTACATCCCGTAAATATTTCTATATTAAATAAGGACTTAACATCGTATATAAAAAAAGGTTGCTTATACAGCAAATAAACATTTCGAACGTATCCAATTTTAATTTTTTAAAATACCTTCATTCTTCTCTTTTTTTTTTCTTTGTTTTTGTTTTTTTTTTCCTTAACGAATTCATTCCATATAACAAAATATCACCTAATATAAATTATTATGTAATAAACGCTATATATTTTAAAAACAAATTATTTTTTTGTTTCAAAAAAGATAAAAGTATCTTTATACATAAATCAAATATCTTGTTTGAATTTTTCATGTATGCACATAAATTAACTGTTTTTTATATAAAAAGAAATTTATGTATGAAGAAATGATAAAATGATAAATATTAATTTAATATAAACTTTAAAGCTCTTATTTCATATGTCGCATAAGTGTGCACTATAAAGAGCATATTGTTATTATTAAAGATACAAGTACTATATTAAGTAACTGGTCACGTATTAATAATACATCCATTATATACAAGTATACACCGAATGTGCACTTACAGTTATGAACAGAGAGTAGTCTATAAACAACTTGGATGCAGTTGTACTTCCATGCCTAGTTAATTTAAAAAATAGCAATTTAGACCTTTTCCAACTTTATACAGAACATAGTTTAGAACGCTGTAAAGAGTTATATATACAAATCATTATGAGCTAAATGCTGATTGAGAGGAAGTTGAGGGTAGGGAAAGGTTTTGTGTTAGGTTGGATATTGGTTTACCTGGGGGTCGGGTGATAACAGGGGAAGGATTGCAAGTTTCCAAACCATAGCGCGACATGAGCGCTAATAATGCACTGCGAACACCAGCTGTTGCCACTTGTGACCATCTTCCAGAACTCATTGCATCATCACCAGCATAAACTGCATGTGCATCAAAGTTTCCTGATTGTGCTGCATTTGTATCTAAAAAATAAAATAAAAAAATAATATATTACAAATATAAAAAAAAAACGCGCATATCTAATAAACTCACCTAAAAGTGGTGGATTTAATACAGAAAGCTGAGATTCTATTAGTCCACTTGATCTTGAATTTGCAGCAAGTCGTAGTTCAGCATGTAATTCTCCTAATAATTGTACTACTTTTGGATCACTCTGTAATTTGAATTGTAATAATTATAATTAATAATTATAGGAGTATAATAATTTTGTATTCTATATAATATTATAATTATATAAAACTTTAAAAATGAAATATTTCAAAAAATATTTCATCATTAATTCAAATATACTCACCTCATTATCTGATCGAAGCGACATAAGATCTTCAACACGAATTGGTTTTCCTTGATTTAATGCATTTGTGAGTAAACTTAATTTTCGAACAAGACTATCTTCCGTGTATAATTCTGACATATGAGAACTAGTATCTCCCTTGGGCCGTGGTGTAACAGGTGGTGGACTAACATAAAAATATGATGGTGATGAGACCATATAAGGTCTAGTATCTCCTTTGGGTCGTGGTGTAACAGGTGGAGGACTAGTGTAATAATATGATGGTGATGAGACCATATAAGGTCTGCTTTGGTTGAACAAATTATCTCCTCCGTAGTGGGATTCCGTACTGAGACGATTTGGATGAGAATTGTAACCTGCTTCCATTTTTAAACGTTTGGAAGATCTGAAATCAAGTCAAAGACATATTATAATAATTATAAAAATAAAAATCAAATGTTTTAATAAATATATCTATTTATCAAAATGTTATATTAAAACAAATTTGTTGAATATAACATATATTTTTTATATTAAAAATAAATAAACAAATTAACGAATATATATTTAATAATAAATTTCTATAAAATCATAAAATATCTTCTATAATAATTTATATTATATAAAAATGGAATAAATATTTCTTAAAATTAAATATATTAATGATATTAATATATTTAAAATAAAATAATATTAATAAAACAATAAATAAAAACTCATATAAATATTATTAAAATGAACAATGATACATGAATATCTTATATTTATAACACTTGTTTCATAATTAATAGAAATCATGCAAAAGACGTTTCATTACGTGCATATTGAATAAAAGCAAAACTAATGAATCAATATTTCATATAGATATACATGCAATTTAATAAGCACAGCATATCAACTTTATTTATATTTTGTAAATTTTATTTTTCACAATTTATTATATATTTATTACTTATATTCATATGTGAAGAAAAATAACAAAATAATTTTATAAAAGATCATATATATAAGGATTGGAATTTGATTATTTAATTCTCACTGCATCCTCAACCTTCTTGCACGAGAATATTAAGCTTTTTTATTTTAGTTATAAAGCAAGCGCATATGTTATATGATACATAAAACCATATCTTATATGAATTAATAAACTGGACACCCTGGGTATAAACATACATTATACAAATTTGGAGAATATTTATTACCTATTTATATTCTTATAAGTGCTATAAAATTTGCCCTTTATCATTCAGCCACAATAACATTACTTCCTGAAACATAATTGTTTTTCTTGTTAGATATTTTGCCAATTTGTATTTATTTATAATTATTTGTTATATTTATATTGTTTAAATATTATGTTGTTTCCTACAAATTCCACAATATAATTTATCATCAATAATATAATATGAATATACTAAATTATATATATCTATATCATATACAGCATTATTATGATTTAATAGAAATATATGTAATCAAATGCATATGTTATATATATATTTATATTGTATAATAAAATAATTGGTTATGTATCAAAATATTTATATATTTATTTATATATTCTACATTCTATTTACATATTTTTATATATATTATTCTTATACTTTGTTATAAATTATATAGTAATTATATATGTACAAAACAAAGAAAAAAAGAAAATATTAATATTTAAGAAATTGATTGTAACATAAATTTGATGATATAATTAATAAATTTTACGTTGTAACATTTAAATATCATTAATAATAAAAAATTCTGTTATAATGTCAGAATATATTAGCTATTAATCTAATAAAAATGGTGATTACAAACATATCTATAACAAGAAATTAAATTATTATACAATAATTTTATATCTTTGATTATTATGATTGGTATATTACTTACTACAGAACTTTTTATATTATTTTGTATTTTTATTTAAAAAGCATCACTTTTTTAATTGTTACAATTGTTTTAAATAAAATAGCTAAAAGTAAAAAAATATATTTAATTTATAATTATTTATACAAGAAAATTATTTTACATATTAATTATTTAATATTTATTTAAATTTATTAAATTTATAAACATTTATTCTATTATTTTAAAAGTACTTTATATGTTATTAATTATTAATTGATGAAAATTATATAAAACTTATAATGAAATATTTTTTATTTGAAAATGAATTGCATGAATCTTTGGATTTTTCTATTATCATATAATGCTGTTCAACATTTATGGAGAAGTGAAATTCTTTATTTTATTTTATCTTTATATGAATAATTAAGATATAATTAAAATAAAAACATTAAACTAACAAATGTATTAAATATCTATGCGAACTTATTGTGGAATAAGTAGAAAAATAACATGTACTATGCATATCATTGAAAAAGTACATAATAATGTATACTGATATTATCATTCATTCCCAAGGTCCCAGTGTTTACTGTCAGATATAACTTTTATAAAGGATTATGGTTACTTAATTTATAAATAAAGATATAGAAACATTGAAAGGGACTAAACAAATTAAATGATAAAATATTTTAATAACATTAGAAATTCATTGTCCATGAAAATATTAGGCAAATGCCTATGGACATATAGTAAATATTTTATATTACAGTAAATCAATAATATTTTACATTGTGACGATAATACATCAGATTGTTCTAAACTCTGAATTTCATTATAAGAATGGCATTAATACAAAATACATGCAAAAACATGAAAATAGTTAACAAATATTAAAAATTGCCATTCGTATATTGAAACTTATGATAACTATCTACAATACAGAATAATTCTAACACAATTAAGAAAATATGATCAATTAAAATATGCCTAATCTATAGATGTGAATGTTCAAATAAATTGAATTAACATAAATAAAATGAAATGTCGATGACGAAGGCTGTGATGTTAATATTTCATGTAATACATTCACATTTTAATCTTGGCTCCTTGTATTCCATTGTCTTCAATCTTCCAACATCTTCTTCTTAGTATCCATTTACATTCCATTAGACCTATTTACACTCCAAGACTTTATAAATATTATAAAGATCATTTATTTGCGCTCATATCCTGTGCTCATTCATTTTATATATCGTTCCATGCGTTTATAGATGTTTTAATTCAATAGTTTAATATGAAAATTAACATACGAAATTTCATTAAATCCCGATTTTTTTATTTACAATCATATACCTATTATATTTTTCTTTTTTTTTTTAAACATTATTTGAAAATGAATGTTTTATATCACTGATACAATCATATTAATAAGATATTAATAATTATATGCATATACATTGAATTATGTAAATGCATATGTTTAACTGCAATAGAAAATTGTACATATATGCATTTTCCTTTTCACAAACATATCATAATGTATGCATATGTATGTTCACATTGATCAGTAAATATGTACATATATGTAATATGTATCTACTTATTAGTCGTAATATTATCAGATATAGAAAATATCTCAATTTTAAAGCTCACATAGTTTTCAAGAACATTCAATTAAATTGAATCACAAACACATTACAAGTCAGAATATTTTCTTTTTACATAAATGCTAATATTCTTTAAATCAAATAATATTTGATATCACTTCAAAAGAACTAAGATAATGTAATATTATGATAATATTTTTTCTACTTATTGAAACATATTATTATAATCATTATTATAATCATATCGCTATAAATTTTGTATTTCTTCCAAATACATACATTCAAAATGTTTTCATGTATTTGAAAAATGAAGTATTAAAAAGTAATCTCTGTAGTAAACCCATGAAAAGAACGTTGTTGTACATTTTCGTGTGTCTATATTCCATTGTTCTGCACTATAGCCATCGTCGTTTGAACGACTGTGAACTAAAATTAACTTATTTTATCCATTATTGAAAGTCACATGCAAACGGACGATGAAAATAAGATACTACAACAATTATGTTTTCATTCTTTAAATAAGACTTCTAACAACGCATTTTGCTAAGAAAATAAATGCCAAGCACAACTGCAGTACACAGCCATCTACGTGTGTAAGCAATTAGTATCTGGTCAGTATTGAATCGCGTCCCAGTTTGTGCGAATATGTCTCTCTACGACTACTCACCCCCCGACATCAGATAGATCTTCAATAGCCTTATGGGGACCTCCTTTATTTGGAAGCGGAAGAAGAGGCATCTTTCCAGCGGAGCTTTCTTGCTGATCTCGTAACTGATGTCTTCGTTTCTTACTCCAAAGCTCATGACAGTCTTGCCAAGTTGGAAGTTGAGGCGCAGGCATTCTAATTTTTTAAAAAATATATATTTTAATAATAGAAAATAGCTAAAATTTTTTAGAAAAATAGTAAAAAATGGTAATAATAATTCCTGTAATTTTAATATTTTTTTCAATTATATTTCTATATAAATATTATTATTGAAAATTATTTTAGTTTTATTTTTTTTCGCATCTCTATATTACATGTAATAAGATAAATAATTCTTTTTGTAAGTATATTTAAATACAATAAAACATACTGCTCGGGTTGAACATTTTTCAGCCAAGCACTTTTAAGCGCATCAGCAGCAGTTATTCGTTTTTCTGGATCTAATTCCAACATTTTATCTAAAAGATCCAAAGCTGGTGCTGGCATAAATGAAAAATCTTCTCGTAAACGTCTTCTATGTGATTTTTTTGGTTTCAAGGTACGCCACAATGGCAGTTTTATCACAGAAGGCCAAACAGCAGGAGTTGGAGTTCCACAAACTCTGGAAATCATCTCCAATTGCATCATTTCTACATTTGCCTAATAAAAATAACAATAATTTATTATTTTTTTCTTTTTTTTTTGACGAAAATAAAATTTGTTATAATTTTCTTACATGAAATAACGGTTTTTTAGAAAATAATTCTCCTAGAATACAACCACAACTCCATACATCTATTGCAGGACCATAACGTTCTTCACCCAACAATAATTCAGGTGGTCTATACCATAAAGTAATCACTTTATTTGTATAAGGTCGCTGTCTATCTTCAGCATTATAAAGCCTCGCAAGTCCAAAGTCGGCTAATTTAACTTCCCCTCTATGAAAATTAAAATCAAATTATAGAAATACCACTTTTTCTTCATTAATTATATATTTTACATACTTGTTATTCATCAGTATATTAGAACATTTGATGTCTCTGTGTAAAAAGTTTTTACTGTGGCAGTAATTTAATCCATCTAATAACTGTTTCATAATGCTTGCATTGTTCATTTCATTAAAATCGACCATTCCAGATTCTAAAAGACCCATTAAATCGTGATCCATGTATTCAAATACAAGATAGAATGAGCCTTTGTCCTATAAAATCGTAACGTATAATATCACTTTTTATATTATATATTTTAATATTACCTTTCTGAAATCCAATACATCTTGTTTATCCGTAACTATTTCTCTCAAGTTCACAATATTTTTATGATTAAGTTGACGTAAGATTTTAATTTCTCGTACTGCTGTAACAGGGAATCCCTCTTTTTCGTTTTCTAGACGAACTTTCTTCAATGCAACAAGTACACCAGCTCGTTTGTCTCGAGCTTTATAAACTTGTCCATAAGTACCCTCTCCTATTTGAGTTATGAATTCAAATACATCAACAGAACGTTCTCCCCAATCTTTACCGCTCGAAGTTGACATAGGAGTATGACAATTTCTAGAACCTCTACGCTTTAAAATTTTTGGTCTTTTTAATTTTGGTTTTGGTGGAACATGTTCAACTTTCGTACGAGGTGGTGTTGCATTTGGATCATCTTCTCCACTTAAATCTTCCGATCCAGGAACAACTATATTAAATTATAATAGAAGAGATATTATTTAATGATAAAATATTAATTAATGACAATAAAATTATATTATTATATCACAAATTTACCTGGTGGCATAGGTAAATCTTTAATACTTTTCTTCTGTGGTGGTTTTGGAGTTGAAGCTGGGAATTTCATTTGTGCCTTACTAGGAGGACTTGGAGATCGACTTGGTGGTGAGTCTATACTTTCTAAATCATTTTGATTAATTCCAGGTGGTAATGGTAATCGTGATAAACTTTTAGTTTTAAATGCCACAATAGGAGGTTTAGGAGGATCTACTGATTTAAGAGGAACTAAATTGTTAGGAGGATTAAATTTAGACATAGCTGTATTTGGTGCTGGAACTGGTATAGGTATAGGTGGTGGTGGAACAGATAAATTAGGCAGAACAGGTACTGGTACAGGAATAGGCACTGGCATAGATACTAAACCTGCTGCATTTGCAGACTCAGATTGTGGTAATGGTGGTGCTTGTAAATTTGTAACAGCTGGAAAACTTGGACTGCTCGTAACAGTCACTGGACAAACATTTGTAGTTGTAGGCGAAGTATATACAATCATTGGAGGATGCTGATTAGTTCCATGTATTACACTTGGTGCATTAACGGTTTGTGTAATTGGTAATGGTGGAGTTTTTCCTGCTATTCCATTATCATCCGACATTGGAACAGGAATATCTACAAGATCAACAGGTTTCATATTTTCACTTGTTGTCTTTAATTGTTCTTTATGATTTATATATTTGTCTTTATTGTCAGTGGAAGGTTTATTTTCGGAAGATGCATTACTAGCATCTTTCTCGTCAGTGCCTTCTATAATTTGAACTTCATCTTGAGTAACAGCCTTTTCCTTAGCTGCTTGTAATTTTTTATATGCTAATTCTCTCATATTTCTATCTTTTACAAGTTCAGCAAACAAACTAGTTTCACTAATCTTTGCTTGTACTCTAAGATTTCTTGCTGTAATACTTGAAGGACTTCTTGCTCTGGATCTATGAGGAGAAGGAGAAGGTATTCTCGAAGGACGTGGACTCTTTGATTTGTGTTTTCTTGCTGATTTATGTGATTTGCTAGGAGAACGAGATTTTTTCGGAGTACGACTTCTTCTTCGTGAACGTGATCTAGATCGTGATTGTACTTTTCGCCATCGTCCGGGACTTCGCGAACGTGAACGAGAAAGAGGTAAATGCAATCTAAAAAAAAAATTAAAAATTAAAAAAATTAATTTTATTTTTGAAAAAAAAATATAATTTTAAATTATAATTTTATATTTTATAAATTATAAATTTTATAAATTTTATATTTTATAAATTATATAATATAATATAATATAATCGTATAATACCTGCTTCCAGTAGGACTTCTAGTTGATCTCGATTTTCTTTTATCTCTTCTATCTTTTTCATGATGTCTATGTCGTCGTTCAGATTCTTCTCGTCGTCTACGTTTACTCGAAGACGGAGAACTAACAGGATCTCTACGACGATGACTTACAGGACTCGGACTAAATTCTCTCCGTCTTGTAGAAGGACTAGGACTGTGCCTGAGTCTATGCACCATTGGACTTGGACTGAAATCTCTTCTTCTCGTTAGGCTATGGTCCCTTCGACGTGATGGTGGGCTTGGACTATGAGGTCTCCTACGACTTGAGCTAATAGTGGGCCCTGGACTAATACTACTACGTCGTGTATGAATACTAGGACTATGCTTCTGTCTTTCAGGAGTATGTTTCATTGTGGACAAACTTGCTTTATTGTTTTCTGGTGTTGTTGTTCTTGGAGGTAATAAAGGAGTATGAGGAGATTCAGTTGGTCTTGGAGGAAGTGGTGGAGGAGTTACATTTCGAGGTTGTCTTGTTATTTCAAGTTCTACATCACTTAAACATCTTTGTTCTTGAGGTGTGGCAGGAGATATTGGTGAAGTACTGTCTTTTAATGGTAAAGGTGGTGATTCTGACCAATTTCCAACTGGTTTTTCATGTTCTGGACTTATAATAATTTCATCTGTAATACGATGTGGACTTAAACTACGAGAATGTCTTTTAGACTTTCGTTTTTTCTTTTTTCCAGAACTAGATGAAGGACTGATGCTTCTCTTTTTTTTCTTTTCTCGTTTATGCTTTTTTTCTTTTCTTCTTGCATATCGTCTAGACTCTTCTTCATATTCAGGTGTTCCACCATGCATTGTTGAAGGTTGTTGCTCATTTGGTGAATAATGTCTGTTAGAATGCCTATGTTGAACTGGTGGAGATGGTGAAAGACTAATAGGAGATGCTCCAAGAGCACGTACTGGGCTTCCTCCATAATAACGTCTTTGTAAAACTGGTTCAGGTACTTCTCCATCTGTATAGCTATTACCTCTACTATCTTCTGATTGAATTTCACCAGCTTCTGGTTCAGATAAATCTTCACTACTCACATCTGAATATTCAACCAAAGGTTTAACAATAGAAGAAGCAACAGTTGGCACATTTTCTATAGATTTATCTCTTGATCTCTTCTTCTTCTTTTTTCCAGAACTTTTGTTTTTTCCATGTCTTCTATGTTTTTTATCAGATGCTTCAAAACCGTGTCGATTTATATCACTGCTAGTACTTCCTCTTCTACGTGATCGAAATCTTCCATTACGTTCAGCTCTTTCAATATCACGGCCGCTAGGCATGTCACCTACTAAAAATGTAAAATTATTGATATGTAAATAGATAACATTTTTACTGATCATTTGACTATTTAAATAATTCTTTTTATAAAAATAAATATATAAATTCAAATATAATAAAATGTATAAGAATGTTTTAAATTTGAAATTTTTATATATTAGACTTCATATAAAAATTATAAAAATATTGAGATAAAACAAAAAATAATTATATTTTTTATATTTAATTTTGTCAAATAAAAAATTTAATTTTATATAAATAATTTTATATAAATATATTTTATATTATATATTTTATATAAATTTATATAAATAAAAAAATACTTCAAACATTTATTTTAATATTAATTTATAATATAGAAATTTGAAAATTATTATATTATTTCTATTCTCAATACTTTCAACTGAATATGGATATTATACACGTACATATGATAATATGAGTGTATGAGAAAGCACACGCATGCACATGCATAGATTAGTCGACGTAACAGTATTTTCGAATATCAAAATTCTACAATATATTTAATAGAAAATAGTAAATTTTAATAAATTATCCTATTTTTAAAATAAAAATAAAAATCTACCAAATATAAACTTATGACTCGTTCGTTCGAAGAATATTTTGCCAAATAGAATTTTTTGGCCGAGTTAGCATAGCCGCCATTGTTAACGACTGGGTGGCAAGGGAGTTGCCCACTTTTCATAAAAGAAAATTAGTTATCATTTTTTACAGAATTATAAGTCAATGAATAATATCAATACTCACGTGCAATATAAATCTTGTGATATCACGCTAAATGTTGAGTTTCTTCGCATCGAGCTGATCCAACGTAGCGATGGATGTAATGGTTACGTTCGTTGCTCAGTAAACAGTTTTAACACATATTTCGTAGGCCACGAGTAAAATTTGATAAAGATTAATAGCTATCGTAACAATTAAATGTTCAGGCAATCATATTTTTATAGTTTTACTAGCCGATGCATCATATCTCATGAATTTTCTTTGGATTGTATTTGGCTTTCTCATAAAGGTAGCTCAAGTAAGTAGAAGCCATTAACCATTAGCACGTCATTATTGTCTGACGTAACAAGCGATAAGTGCTGCACCCTTGCGACTAAATATGAAGTAGATAAAAATGCGGATAATCTTCAATATTATTATACTTGATACAATTGGTTGAACTAAATTTATTTATTATGCTTATATATAAATATAAATGTATTCGTTATTAAATTTTTACATAAAAATAGCAAATATAAATAAAATATATATTTCTATATATTTTAAAGATTTTAAATACTTTCAAATTATAAAATTTTAAATTCAAATATTTTGCTATATATTTTATATATATATACATGAAACTAATATTACATTTTTATTACTGTTTAGATAAACTATTGTTATATAAATAATATAACATAACATTTACGAGCATTATAATCATAAAATATAAAATATTTATTTTTTATATATTTATATATATTTTAAATACATAATAAAATAAAGTATTTTTTGGATATAATTTTATTTTAGTAATTTTATAATTATATTAATTTATATTAAAATTTATTAAATACATGAAAGATCAGCATTATGTACATAATCGACAAAGCGCTCTCTATTGTAAAAGATATATGACATATATATATATATATATATATATGTTTGAAATAAATTTTTGTCTTATGGTTGATAGTAACTTACTATTACAAAAAGATATCAAGCATCAAAGGATAAGTTTGTAAATAAAAATAAATTTATATTTTTATTGAAATTTAACTTTCGTTAAAAAATTAGGATATGGGTGAACGATATAATATTCATAGTCAGTTAGAACATTTGCAATCGAAGTATATTGGCACAGGCCATGCAGACACAACTAAATTTGAATGGCTTGTAAATCAACATCGTGATTCTTGCAGTTCTTATATGGGTCATTATGATCTGCTAAATTTTTTCGCTATCGCAGAAAATGAAGCAAAAGCTCGTGTCCGGTTTAATCTCATGGAAAAAATGTTACAACCTTGCGGTCCACCACCAGAAAAACCAGAAGATTAAATATTTCAATGAACAACGTGTTTATTCGTACATATTGTAGAAATAATGCATTATTGAAAATTTTTAATTATTTTCATATAAATTGACAATTTTTTTTTATTTCTACATTATATAAATAAAGATTGATTTAATAAAATTATATGTTGAAGTTATTATTTTTATGTCTGCAGGAAAATAAATTATTTAGTAAAATTAGTATAATATTATAAAATTTATAAGAATAAACCATAACACGATATATGAACTTTTATTTCAATAAAAGAAAAATAACATTTATTAAAAAGTATATAAATTATAAATTAAATTATCATACAAATTTTGTTATATGATTTGTAATATAAAAGAAGTGCAAAATTCTACAAAATGCCTATTCCATGTTCAAGAAAGTGTGGAAAAGATGCTATTCTTAAAGTAAGTTATAAATTTTAAGATCTTAAGATTAATTAAAATTTTAAAATGCTATATATTTCAAAAAAATATAAAAGAAAAATAATATATAATATAATATATCTTTAATATTCCATAATAAATAATATATATCTTAAAATAATATCTTTAATTATAGAGACCTAAAACTGGTCATGCCTTATGTAAAGAATGTTTTTTCTTTGCATTTGAAAGTGAAATTCACAATACAATCATAAAGGGCAAATTATTCAAATCTGGTGACAAAGTTGCTATTGGAGCATCAGGGGGAAAAGATTCTACAGTACTTGCATATGTTTTGAAAACTTTAAATAATAAATATCAATATGGAATTGATCTTTTTCTTTTATCTATTGACGAAGGAATAACTGGTATTGTGTAATATATTATATTATAATATATTATAACATATTAATAATTTAATATTAATAACATATATTATAATTTAAATATTTTAGAATCTTTTTTTAATGAAATCTATTCTATCTATATTCTAGGATATAGGGATGATAGTTTAAAAACTGTTCAACAGAATAAAAATGACTATGGACTTCCATTAAAAATATTATCCTATAAAGAATTATATGGATGGACAATGGATGAAATTGTAGCAGAAGTATATATAATAATTTTATATTTATTGTTAAATTTATTTATAGATCTTTAATATTTATTTCATTTTAGATTGGCAAAAAAAATAATTGTACATTTTGTGGTGTATTTCGAAGACAAGCATTAGATCGAGGTGCAGCCCTCTTAGGAGTAGATTGTATTGCAACAGGTCATAATGCTGATGACATTGCAGAAACAGTTTTAATGAATATCTTAAGAGGTGATATAGCAAGATTACAAAGATGTACTTCAATTATTACTGTAAGTTTAGTCTTTTTCAATATATTTTTTGTAAAAAAAAAATTATATTTTATATATATATATTATTTTAATATTGTAATTATATAATAATAATAATTAATAATAATAATTAATATAATAATTAATATTTTTTCTTATAATATAGGCAGGGGCAGATTGTATAAGACGATGTAAACCTCTTAAATATGCATATGAAAAAGAGATTGTTATGTATGCTTATTTTAAACGATTAGTATACTTTTCAACAGAATGTATATTTGCACCAAATGCATATAGAGGACATGCAAGAACATTTCTCAAAGATTTAGAGAAAGTTAGACCTTCTTCTATATTCGATATTATTCATTCTGGTAAAAAAGATAATAATTCTTATATGTTCTTATAACTTATACATTATTTCATAATTATATAATATGTGTATATGTAATATACACATATATATAATATATATATATTATATATATAATTATATAATCAATATATATTCTTTTGTAGGAGAAACATTGCAAATAAAAGAAAGTATCAAATTGCCGGAACGAAGAAATTGTTCTCGTTGCGGATTTGTATCTAGCCAAGAAATTTGTAAAGCTTGTATAATGTTAGAAGGTTTAAATAGAGGACTTCCAAAACTTGGAATTGGAAAATCTACCAAAGTTAAAAAAGTAATAGATTCTGTTACAAATAAATCTGAAAATAATGACAAAATTAAACTAAAAAATTTAGAATTTTGATTTCTTATGTATTCAAATATATATGTATAAAAATCATAGATTTATTAATTTGTAGAAAACAATTTCAATTAAAATCGTATTGCTTTCAATCATTTTTAATGATTATTTTATTGTTCAAAAGAACATTTCAGTTTTTCATTAATGTTTTTAGTCATTTCATATTTATTTATTTATTTTTACAATCTCAGAAACAATAATTTTTATAAAGTAATAAGGAGTAATTAAAAAAAAAAATTATCTTTATGATGTTAGATAATATATGCTGCAGCTTTTTGTGAAATTGGTGCTCTGCAAACTGGACAATCACTAGTAATATCTTCAGAACAGTCTTCGCATAAACAGACATGTCCACAAGGAAGAAGAATAATCTCACGAGGATTTGTGCGACAAACAACGCACAATTGATCTTCCCTGAGATCGGTATCTCTTACTCTTTGTCGTCTTTCTTTGCGAGATTCAGCTAGAGATTGTCTTAGTTCTTCTGCTAATCTTTGTTCTGTTCTATCTTTCCAATAACGTCGAAGAACTATTCCACCAATCAACATTCCAATCGCACCAAACATTAAACATAGTAATCTAAATCATAAAATATTGTTTCAGAATTATATATATATAAATTATATAAAATAACTAACCTGTATGTTCGTCTACGTTCATCCAATTTTCGAAGTAAGGAACTAATTGACATGCTTGTTAAATAAAATGGTGTACCATCCAATGGGGGTTGTAATGTAAGAGTTTTAGAATTTGTTCTTGCTAACTCACCTATACCTGTAATAACTGCACCTTCGCGAAGTAATTCTTCTGTGGATTGTAAACCACGTTGACGCACACCTAAAATTAATGATAGATTATAATTTTTATAAACCATATCAAAATAAAACTTAAAATAGTTATTTCTTACCTGTAAAGAAACCCCATAAATGATCTGCAAAAGATGGTATAATTGGTTCAAAAGTATTAGATACAACATCCAGATCCAAAATATCTGCTGATAATGGTTCTAATATTTCTATAGAACAACCTCCATGTTGCAAAGAAAATGGAACAGTATTATATACTTTATGAACAGTACGTTCTTGATCTGACCTATATACAAAGAGAAATTTATTAATATATATATATATTTATAATATATAATTATATATATTTTAGAAAATATTTTAAAGAAAGATTACCAAAAGCCAGCAGTAGTTCTAGCTACAACATGTTCTTTGATTTTAAGTTTTTGTACAACACCAGTTAATTTTTTATTATTGATGCTATTCAATGGCTTTCCTAAGGGTTTTACAATACCCCTAATAGCTATGTAATCTATCTTATTATTAGAACTTTTATCAACCAGCTCTCCCAATTGTGGGCCAATTTCATGAAATTCTGCACCCTGTGAAGAAACTAAACATTTTGAGGTATTTTTAAACATTATATGTGTCTCTATATTTAATATTAAAATAACATTTAAATAACTATTACTTTAATATGTATTATATTTTGCGTATAAAAAAAGGTTAGGTACAAGATTATTTATTGAAAATTATATAAATAAATTTTATAATAATATATAATTTTACCTTGACTGCTGTAATTGCATTTTTGCAATGAAAGTATTGTTTCAAACAAACACCAAAAATTATACTGTCAATTCCAAGCGCTATTACTTCACCTAAATAATCCATGACTAGGTTATGTTTTTAAAGCTCCAAGTTAAAATATTCTCCATTTTTACTATTTTTATCTATTTCTTATTTAGCCCGTATGATTTCATTTTAACAAAATATTTGAAAATTTAAAATATATAATTTTTATTGAATATTTAAAAATAAAGATGTACATATAACAATTGCTTGATATAAGAGGCAGTTGCATATATTGTGTTGTCAAGACTGTTGACCACGTGATATAATTGCAATTAAATTTTTACCGCTATGTTGGTGAACGTGTATACGTCTTTAAACTGTTTTTTGATATTCGTATACTAAAATTTTATTTTTTCAATTTTTTTTTTATATAAATAATTTATGATACTTTAAAAATTGAAACAAATTATCAAAAAGGATGCAACCAAATCAGGTATAATTTTCTCATTTAACAAAATGAATTTTCAAATATTATTTTTCTTGATCACATATAAATTTCTTCCTTTCATTCAATTTAAATTTCATTATTACTTTTACACTTTATATATTCCATTTTATAAATTTATAAAGTTGCATAAAAAAGAACAAATATTGTAAATTATGAGATTTAAAAATAGATAACCTCCGAAGAAGTTATCGTTGCCGCTTACATACCGAACGAGATTGAAATCGAAGAGAAAAATTGAAACACGTATAGTATAAATTCGAGAAAAGAAATTTTATTGGTAACATAGAGATGTTTGAATACGTATAAATAGTATGTATAAAAGTATAAAAAATAAATAGCGATGGCATTGCGATTTTGCAGGCCTGAATGAGAGCGAATACATTATAATGTGTTCCAATCGTTATTCGGAACGCGATTACGAGTTTAATGATAACATTAGTAATGACAATGATAATAATAATAATTGACATTGTACTTAATCTTACTTTATGATAAATTTCTCAAACATTCTTCCACACATTCTTACACAAATTCTTTGTCGTTTTTTTATTTGAATAATAATCGACCGTTTAAAATTAAATGATAATGATCAATACAACATTATCAATATACATGATAAATAAAACTAGATTTCATAATATATTTTTTTATATCACATAATATCTTATTTTTTCTTTTCGAGTATTTTTCACATTTTATGTTTAAATTTATAATATTTAATATATCATTTAATACCCTTTTTATCTACTTTTTTTATCACCCTTTAAATCAAATATTTTGAATATTATTTTTGTTTTTTTATAACATTAAAAATAAAAACTTTTTCCCCTAAAAAAAATATATTTTTTCACTAATAATATAAATTCATACCGAATCGCATTCATTTAAAAAGAAAAATGTATTAGTCATTTATTTTTCACTCATAAAATAGATGATGAATTGTTTAAATAAATTGTGCATGTATTTACTTAAATGTAAAGCAATACTATTTATATCGAACACACAGTATCTTTTTTTTGATAATTTCATTTATGAATTTAAATAACAAGTGGGACGTGCTTTTAACACAAAAATGCGAATATTCTTAAAAAATATTCAACATTTTATCTTCTATTTAAGAGTAATCAAAAAAAAAAAAAATGATCATAGTCGCACGGATGTTAAATATCATATAATATAAGAATCGTTTTTATATCGAGACATTATCGCATTAATGCTTCACAAACTACTTTCGTGATTCTTTTCAGTTAAATTCCTTTTATGGCAGTCAATTCGTAACCTATATATAATCATCTGCAATTGTCGAATTTAGAATGATCGCAATTGACCTCAATATAGTGTAATAATAATATTAGAGATTATTCGAACTTCTTTGCACATATGTCTCATTAAATCGTTCAGGATACAAGAAGCGTTACATTCACGCCCTCTTATGCAATATCTATATAATCCAAAAAAAGAGTAAATTATTATTGAAAAAAGCGATAAAAGAAATAGAGAATTATATATAATATTATAAATAAATAAATATCTGTAATTAGCTCTAATTAAAAATACAAAATATGCTTGAAATTAAATATTTCAATGAATAATGATAAATTCTTTACTTTCAGAAAAGACATTCATTCTCTTTGAAATTACTTAAACAATTAGTAAAAAAATTTAAGGATCTTCTTCTAATTAGTTGAGAGTTGAATTAAATTTTATAAGTCATAAATTATCATTGTTAATAAATTTTTTTGCACAATAATAATAAATTTGATAATAAAATGAATGAAGTTTTATAAACAAATCTTACAAATTACAAGTTAATCGTCTTTATTGATGTAAAATTGTAAAAATTGTGCAATCATTGGTCAATTCAATTAATATTATTTTCCAATAGATTATGCAAAAGATCCCTGAATTTTATCGACACTCTTATTTATTTATTTATTATTATTATTATTATTATTACTACTACTACTACTATTACTACTACTATTACTACTACTACTACTACTACTATTACTACTACTACTACTACTACTACTACTACTATTACTATTACTACTACTACTACTACTACTACTACTACTACTATTACTAGTACTACTACTACTATTATTATTATTGTTGTTGTTGTCGTCATCCTTTTTCTTTTTCTTCTTCTTCTTCTTCTTCTTCTTATTATTATTATTATTATATCGTGCTAAGACTTGTAAGAATAATTAAATCATATAATTCGATGATTTGGAAATAAAAAAAAAGGATCAAATGTTTTGATTTAATTCCAAAAACATAAAATGCTTCGAATTATTAATCTTTCAATTATCTCTAGCACGCTCGTTAAATACCTGTTTAATTGGATCAATATAGAAGTTCGATAATCCATTTTTTTTTTGCAATTGCAATTTCGAATTATATATAAAAATTATATAAGAAAAATCAAATTCTAAGAATGCGAATAAAACTTTCAATTCTGAATTTTGTACATTGGTTTTGTAAAGTTTTATTTTTTTTTTTTAAATAGCATCATATTAATATTTTTTTAAAGTAGCGTAAGATTAATCTTAAAAAATAACGGTATACGAAAATATGGCAGTTTTTTTGTTCTCTCAACTTGCTACGACAAGTCACAAGACTTGTTACGACGAGTCGTGAACTCAAAAACTAGCGTAAAAAAGTTAATAAAGGATTAGAATGATTTCGAATCATTCATCTAATCAGGCAGTGATCGGATAAATAATTCGTTTAATTAAACACTTGCGACTGATGCTAAATCATTTGCTCATTTATCGAATGAAATCGAGCTCGAATACACATTATGTTCATATTTCGTTGATTTTCCATTCAGTTTCTTAAAAAAAATATGAAAAAAAAGTTGCTCGCTTAATATCCGTGCAACGGATTCATTTTCTCAAAAAGCACGTCTTAATTTCATTCTAGTTTTAATTTCAGTTCGTTTTACGAACATCATCACAGAGAACATTGCTTCATTGATTCGATCTAGTCCGAGTGTGTATGATGAAATTTCTTATTGCCTTTTTTTTTTTTTTTTTCTTTTACCTTCCTTCTCAATTGATATTTTTAAATTCTAGAAATATTTATAACCGGCCTTTCCATTTCTTTTCTTCATTCATTGTTACACAGAAATATAACGTCTCTTTAAATATTCGGTAACAATATTTCGAAATCTTTTTAACAGTTCGGAATTTTTGGTGTCCATCAGTCATCATAGAAAGATTCGAAGCTTCTCGCGTTTCTTCGTTTCATAAATATCCTTCCAACCTTTCAAATTCCTTATCCTGCTATTAATAATCTTCGTGAAATATTATTTGTTCTTTCAACGACGAACAAAAATCTTCTCTATCATTTCGTAATATTCAAATTTATATATATACATACATCGCGATACTTATGTGTATCAAGTTCACGATATTCAAAAGTATCTTCAATATTCAAACGAATAATTTATCAAGCTCGTTCTTCGTCCTTTCTCGATCTCGTTTTCAACGGATATTGTTCATAGATCGGCGAACGATTGTCAAAAATTCTCCCGATTTAAAGGAATATGCATATATATCACCGAGAAAGCTTTAATAAATTCTTCAAAAGCGATATATCGTCCTTCTTCTCGTATTATTGCGTCCACTGATGGACCAACAAACGATTGTCAATGGATGTCGACGCGGTGTCGTTTCCATTTCAATTCGACTGATATCCTCCGTTCGAGGGTCTCTTCGAGGAAAATTTAGGCTGGTGCCTGTACCACAGGTCTATGAAGTGGCACTGATATCACATATATGTCTACCTTCTCCCCAGAAGTCTTGTCCGTTATCTCGCCATAGTTCACAGAATCGTACGAGGGTGGCGCGAACAAATGATAAGGTGGGGGTGGTGTTTCGGTTACTACCGGTCCGTTGATCACGTCGTTTCGTTGAGAATAAGGGACCGATAGTGACCTTCCACCACGACGACAGCACCATTCCGAACAACTGACGATGAGGAAAAAAGCGACGAGGCCACCGAATGAACCGATGTACCAGACGATCGACCAGGGATCCAGTGGATTTTGATCGTCCTCCTCGTCTGAAACATAAATAAATCCGCCTGTGAAAAAAAAAAAAGAAAGGGATATGTTAATAAGGATATCTACGATAATAAACTTTGATGATTTTTGACATTTCGTTTTTTCATGCCATTTTGTAATATAATAATTTCGTAATGAAGAGATAAGAAAATATTTTTTCAACAAAAATTCAAACGCAGAAAGAAAATATATTACTTACACATCGATAGAAAATTTCTTTAAGAAATCTTTCGAAATAAAATACGATTCAAGATAATAATCCCAAATTTATGTGTATAGGAGAATCTAAAGTAATAGATTACAGTACAGATATGTATATATATATGTATAAAGTAGGGAGAAGCAATTATTGGTTTACTCTGCTGACGTCTTTCGTTACAGTACCATCTGGAGAATTAGTTCAGTGGCAAATTTCTTGAAAATTTACGGTAAATCAATGCTGCAATTGATTTATCTCAATTACTAACTGATTGCAGGTAAGCTCTTATGGAAATTACATTTGACGATGCACGATCGAGCAATCAGTTTCAATCATTAATCATCTCGATTAAAAGCTGCAAGATATAAATTGGAATAGTGCACGAAATGGAGAAATTAAACGATGTCCGTATTAAAATCTGATGTCTCTTTCTATGAAAAATTATCTTTTTCTTTGTCTTAAAAAAAAAAAAAAAGAAATATCGTATCTATGAAGGGATAAATTTTCGAAAAAAAAAAATATATATATATAAATTTTGTTACAAGTGATATTTTGTAAAAGATTTTGCTACGATAATGGAATACAAATAAGACACGGAAATTTTTCGAGACATCATCAATCGCGTCTAGAATCCACGAACGAATCGTCGTGCGTGACATTAGCGATTCTGATAATAGAACGATTACGTTGCGTGAATTTGTGCGTGAATTCATGATGTTGAATACGTGACATATATTTAGATATATTTTACTTTAATACTTTTTTTTATTGTAATTAATTATTTCAATAATGAAAATGGAAACTTGGAGTTAAATTATAATATTAATTAAATTTTATAATATATAATTAATGATCAATGATCAATAATTAAAAAATAAAATAAGTAAAAAAAAAATAAAATAGACGATTAAAAATTAAATTTAGACGGAAATTAATATAATTTTGAATTAATTTTATGATTAGACTATGAGAATTAAAAATTGAAAAATTCGTGTCAATCACATTCGATTACTTTTTACGACAGGGTTAAATAATAATTTGATTTATAATGGGTTAATCGAGATCGATAAAGATAAATGATCGCTTACCAGAAGGTGTCTCCTTTCCTTCTTGCAGACTTTCTTCTTTCTCATTCGATTCGGATTCAAATTCGAACACATAAACCGTTTGTTCGTCGTCATGATTATTGCTCGTCGAATCAACTGGGTGTTGGTTGTTATTAACTTTATGAATCACCTCGTAACTCTCCAATCGTCGCTGCACGCCAGTGACATCGTAACTCGACGCTCCGTGAACTGCAATAAGAACACACATACATATTTATATACATATTTAACAAATGCATATATTCGAGGACATGCAGAAAGAGGTTAACAATTGGAAAATTAAAACTAACTGTTGAAACTGTCGCGAACGCCTTCGTGATATATAGCACGAAACAATTGGCGAATAAGCATTCAAGGATCTACTTAGGCAGTCATAATAATAAATTTCGATTAATTTAATTTTCTTAATAAATTTTGAAAAGTTTGATATCATTGTTTAATTAAACAAGATTATACTTGAAATATCGCACTTTATATATAAAAATCACTCGAAAGAAGAAAAACAAATAAATAAAACACTTTGAAGAATTTATTTGAAGAAAAGATAAAAATAATTTGGAAGAATTGTTTGAAAAAGAATTGATAAATAAATGAAAAAGTTTGGAAGATAAAAGGAGATTAATAGGTGATTAACCGGTTTTATCTTATGACAAAGATTTCACGTGTCGCACGTCAGTAGGGGGCAATATATCGTTCAAGAGACGAATGTTGCCTCGACGGCGCCAGATTTGTTCCAATTCAGTGAAAAACACGTTTCCTCTATCTTGTCATCTGCAAACATTTTCTAAGTTCGCGGGATTAAATATGATTCAAGATCATGGATTCACGTGACCAAAATTTTCGAGTATTTTAATAAATGTTTGACACATTTTCATCTATTGTCATTTTTCATCTATTCGCTGCTATATTCGCCCATTTTCGATATTATATTTTCTATGTATTTCGTCAGTTAATTGGATTTAACGATCGAAAGATGGATAAAATGACGATTAATGTGGTTGGAAATTTCATCACCTCTTTTATTTTTTCTTTTTATGATTTATAATGAATAAAAAATATTTTTAAAAAATATAATTTTGCATTCTAATTATTTGCACATATATATATATATGTATATCGATGTTATGTATCGACCAATAATATTAATTATTCTTATCGCGAAATGTCTGAATACGTGTATACGTGCCAAAAAAGAATTGAAAATTTTTTTTTCTTTTGATAATTTCATATCTACAATCGCATATTAATATATGTGTACATTCAAATTTTGGCGATAATGAAATTTACTAATATCATACTTTGTTCTAGTTATCCTTCCTTATCCCTAGTTATCTCTAATAGTAAAATAACGATGATGTATTAAATTTTACTTTTTCAATACTATAAGAAATTCTATTTATTTTTAATAAATTTTCTTAGTTTTAATTTTTTTATTCTTAAAAGTATAAAGTTTGTATAAATCAACTGTGTTTTTATTATATATGGTTTTATGGAAGTATATAGACCATCTAAAAAAAAAAAAAAACTTGATATTGCGATGATTAATTTTCTATTCGAGCATACGCTCGAAAAAGATCGGAAAAATTATCAAGAAACGGAGAAAGAAAAAGGTTTTCCGTTTTGTAAGAAAATTCGCGTCTATCCTAACATGTTTACTTATTAATCAATTGTCACGTTGTTTCATCAGATTTGTCGTTATTTCACGATAAACGTGCTATTAAACGTGTTGAGTAGATGATTCAAATCCAACATTGTCAATGTTCTGATGAAAACGGCTTGAACGATATCGATTCGGAGACCTATTTTAAAATTATCGTATGCTTCATAAGTTCTACGTATTAGAATACACCTATTGTAGTATCGTGACTTTGATTTTTTAGAGTACGCAATTAAAACAATGAAATCACGATTCCAATATAATTCTTTAATCAGTTTGTAATGGGTTATTTTACATTATTGTAGTTTATGAGATATAGAGACATGGAAGTTAAATAGTTTCATGTTTATTTTTAATTTTTGTTGTATCAATGAATGCTTATATGCATTAATAAAAGTTTATTCTTTTGGCCTATGAATATATAACAAGAAATGTTAATTTACTATGTATATATATGTTTATTATAATGCTATAAATATTTTAAACATCGGTGAATTATATATCGTCTAATAAATCTTAGAATAAATGAAAGAAGACACAGCAAAGACAGAAATGATAAAAATGATTTTATATTCTTTTTTCATAGTCATAATGTCAAAAAAAAAAAAAAAAACAAAATTCAACGATGTCATTTTTATTCAATGATCTTTTAGAATCATACGAAAAGTACATTTGAATGATATTAAATTGACTGAAAAGGAAACGTGAGAAATAAAATTTCATTAATGTAATGTACGTAATGTAAAAAAAAAAAAAAAAAAAAAAAAACAAAACTCGTTTCTCATTCTTATCCGTATACCATAAAGATAGATGGAATCGAAAAATGGTGGAAGTGATCAAACACAATCAGAGCTCTCTTTTATTCTCGAACATTCTTTTTGCTTTATTTATTCGCGATCTTTACAAAGAGATTAAAAAAAAACCAGTATCCAGGTCATGAACGTGCCATATTTTATATCATCGATGTTCGTGTATGCCTTTTAAGAGAAAGAAAGAAAAAAGGATTCAATCCAGAAAAAATTAAATATATAATAATACCGAAAGAAAAAAGAAAAAAAAGGGAGGAAAAAAAAAAAAGAAAAGAAAAGATAAAAAGGAAAAAAATCGGATCATTCAAGGAGAAGTCAAGATTGTATATACGAGATGTTCAATTTGCCTCGCCGTACATTGGAGACGATGCCGAGTCCTCGCCAATTCCTCGTCAAGCCATCTCCTGTAATCGTATTTCCGAAGGTCAACGGTGATTAAGACGGTGTATAAAGTAAGTAACTACGTGAAACTCTGGTGAATCGTTTCACGTTAAGTGAAGAAAAAGACTGTATAAGCGATATTCCGCGTAAAACGTGAACGTTTCGTGGATCACGTACGCCTTTTTCTCTCGAAGGGAATGAAACAGCCTGAATATGGAAAATCCACGGGCCGTTGTGCTTTTCTGCGCTCGCATCGACGTTGGCACAATGAAAGTTACATAAGCTCCACCTTTGTCTGTCACGAGGAGAAAGAAAAATCGAATGGATCCTATTTTCATCGGTCGGAGTTTTTGCCCGTCATCGCTCGCTTTCACTTTTACAATTAGGTCATCCCATTAAACTCGTAAAATATGCAACGCGACATTTAAAGATAAAGATTCTCTTTCTAGAGAAATTTTGATCGATCAATTTGCGATTCTTTTTCTCTTGATTAAAGTAAGTAAAAAAAAATGGATCATGATTCATGATAATATAGATGATAAATCATTGAAGAAATTTTTACAACGCACATCGTGACGTTTTTTTCCGGATCATTTAGAAAGCTAACAAGTTATGTTTACTCGTGTCCAAATATTTCAATAGAAGAAAGAATAATTATATATGATTCATCTGATGCGGGGGAAAAAAAAGTGGAATTTTTTTGGACACTTTTACGATCAAGATGTTTGAAATGAGATACTGCCGGTTGGAGAAACAATCGTGACACGATAATTCCGATGATTCGCGGTTTACTCGGTGCACACAATTTAGATAATTGACCTGTGCTTGCTTGTGCTTATCCTGCTCGGATAATTGCAAATGTAATTAATGCAATGATGGTGTTAAGCCATTGAACGCGATATTACGCGCTAATTCGCTCCATGTTAACATCTGTGTTAACCACAAATGAGTTTTGAATTTGAAATTGAATTGAAGAGATCGAGTTGATTTCGAATTTTATTTAAAACTTATTTAATAACAAAGATATTTAAAAATATATTATAAATTTTTATTATTTATTTAAAGATACTCGTATTCTTTTCATTAAGTGATGAAACGAAAATCAAATCGAAAAAAAAAATAAATAAATAAATAAAAAGACAAAAAAGAAAAACAGAAATTGCACATCAATATTTTCCTATTTCTCTTATCTCGTATTTGAGCCAGACTGTATATCATAACGAATGTTTTCGTGAAAGAATGCAACAGGAAGACAAGAGGCTTATTGTAAAATATAATTTATAATTTAAAATGAAAATAAGAGGGAAGCCAGTAGGAGGGAATACAGTAACGATATTCACGAATTATACGCGTTCGTTCGCACAAATTGGCATTCAATTTACTTCAAGAAGATGCTAACAAGTGGCCCATTATGCGATATCGTATCTTTTTTACGACGATATTCAATGTCGTAATAAAATTTTTAATAATTAACCTTCTATAACACTATTGACCAATCCTTTATAATTAATTGCAACGCGTGACTCAAAAATCATTGCGATAAGAATTCTTAATAAAACTTTCAACATTTATTTATTGAAAATAATATTAATCACAATATGACATTATAAACAAGGTTATAATAATAAGATAATAATATAAAAATAATATCTAATAACCTGATTCAAAATACTCCCTAATAATTGGCACAGAAAATGTAAAAGTTCGTCGTGACTGAAACACTTCTCCCATTTCATTTATACAATATTCTATCACTTTAAAACAAGCCCCGACCCACTTTATAATGCGTTTGTTTCATAGTTGTTAAGAAATAGCACGACGCTTATCCTTATTACTCTGTTCTATCTCGTTGATAAACTTTTCACCAAAAAGTTCTCGAAGAAAGTTTAGGCCGGAAGTGTGCTTAAAGTCTCCTCATTCCGGCGTACTCGTGAAATAAGTAAGTACGTGGCGTTACAGGCCTGTTTTGTTGTGCCAAAAACTTTTTCCTTCGTCACGAGAAAACGTTAGATAAGCACTTATATACGTTTTATAGTTTGCAATCTGATCAAAAGTATAGTTTTAACGAAATTTTTTAAAATTGAAAAATCTAGAAAGGAGATTAGAACCAAGAATAAAAAGCGGAGAGGATTTGTCAAAGATATTGAGATCTTATTGAAATAAATAATAAGCAAAAATTCTCTACGAAAATTTCCATAAAAATACGACTTCAACTAAAAATATTAATCGCATGCAATGCCGTTGAACGTCATAAATCATAAGTCGAGAATTTTCTCGTCTAATTTTAAGTTCTCAATTTACATTTCTTTAACTATATTGATAAAGATATCAATTTTGCATAA